TACCATGCATCCAGGTTTTCCCACACATGTCCTCTTTTTGGGTCCTCTGACATCCATCTGGGTGTTTTTCTGAAAAATGAACAAATGTCTGGGATTTCCTCCACTAGTCCTTTTTCAACACGGATGCTGGTAAGTAGAAGAACTTTTCCCATCTCGCCTAGTGGAGAGCATTAGGAATTCGAGTTTTCTGTTTCCTGTGGAAAAATGCAGAAAAATGTAGTGCCGCTAGCGGTGAATGGAAACGTGGGCACTGCGTGTCTGCACGCACACACTGGTGCACACAGCCAGCACAGGGCTGGGGGGAAGATGCCTGCCCCTCCAACCGTAGGAGGGGATGGGGGACACTTTGGGAACGGCGGGGAGCTGTGTGGCCAGGCTGGCTGGGAGGCACTGCCCAGGATAGCAGCTGTGGCCAGGCCTTCTGGCAGGGTGCTGGAGCCCCAGCCCAGGGCGGGAGGTGCCACAGGCCTCCTGCCCTCCTTGTTGCAGCCTGCGCCAGGGTCAGACTGGCTCTGCTGCCACCCGCATGAGCCGCAGCTGCTGTGACCCCTGTGCTCTGGCCGGGGCAGTAGGGGGGCAGCTGGGGGAAAGAGGGGGTCTGGGTGGAGAGCGGGGGGCTGAGCCCAGGAGCATGGCGGATGTTGGATTGGGACTGAGGGGAACTGAGAGGGCCCGGGATGGGCACGGGGCTGCGGGTCGAGAGTGAGGGGGCACCAGCAGGGCCAGGGGGCTGCGCGTAGGCAGCGAGGTGCCCCACAGACGTGCTATCTTTTGGACCTGGCCCAGGCCCCTGCACTAGCAGGAGGCAGCAGCCAAATTGAAGAGAGAAGCCAGAGTGGCCCCGCCCCATGGAACGCCTACTCCTCTCCCCACCCCCGCAGCCTATAGCGTCACGGCTGAGGGCCGGGAAAATGTTCCTAGTACCTCTAGTGTCATGGCAGCGGGCGGCGTGAGATCATCAACGCGCGCTGCGGCGGGTGCGGCGCGCGCTGATGACGACAGGGGCGGGGCTGTGGCGGAAGGAGGGGGCGGGGCGTGTTGCCGGAAGGGGTTGTGCGGACCTCTGCCTGGGCACGGACGGGGCGGGGGCGCCTGCTGGAGTGTGCCTGTGTGTGTGTGTGTGTATATATACACACATGTGTTTCAGGACGCTGGCATTCGCGGGTGGCCCCAGTGGCTTCTTGCTAGACCATGGAGTATATGTTGGTTGTTGGCCCTGCACACCCTGAGAAGCTTCTGCACAGGCAGAATCCACTCAGGGCCGCAGGGGCCTGGCATTAGCGCACACTGGCCAAGCCGTGGTGGCTTTGTCCTCAAGAGCTGCATAAAGGCCCCTCAAGTGTTGAAGACTGACTCCAACCTAGGGGGCAGTTGGTATGCTCCCTTGTCACAAAAGCTGTACAAAATGCTTTGGGACAAAGTTACAAAGGGGTTTTGGCACCCGAAAAGATTCACAAAGAGTCCCTTGTTAGGTTAGGCACCTTCTGGAAGTCCCTCTGCACTTTTAGTTGCCTAAGCTCCTTTGTAGCCAGGACTTTTTCTTTCATGGCTATGCAGATATATCTAAATGTTCTTGCACCAGTGGTCTGTTTTGTTGATGCCTGGGTTGAGCCCTTCCACACACGGTGTCCTGGTAGAATCGAGTCTTAAAACTTGGGCTACAGGAACCTTAAAAAGACCCCTTTATGATAGAAACATGCTCAGAGTCTAATTTTAATCTGAAATCAGTAGTAGAGCCTTAATATGCAGAAATATGATAATCTGCAGATGAGACGGGTGTCACCAAGTGTCAGCCACCATTGGAGTTATCTTTTAAGTATGTAGGATGTGGGCCCTGAGCAGATGTGTAAAGTGTAATGAGGAAAATAGTTGTGTGTTTCATAAATGTATCTCTGTTCAAGCTACTTGACTTGATTTGATTAATGCTGCCTCCTTTGATTTTCAGGTGTGGCTTGTTGAACTGAACAGCAGTTACAATGGGAGATGCTGTGAAACCTTCCTTTGCCAAACGAAATAAGGAACGAGGAATCTCAAATGAAGATGAGTTAAGGAGAAACGCTGTACAACAGGACTTCCAAGTCATGGATGATTATGGAAATAACCATGGCAACAAAACCGAAATGGGCTTTCAGAAGAAAAAGGGACCACCTCTTCATTATGGAAACAGTCCCCGAAAAGGAGCACACAGTGTTTTGAGTAGCCCAAATTCATTTAAAAGTTTGGGGCATAGTCAAGGGGCAAAGTTAAATGATGCTCAAAAAGACCAGATTAAGAAGTGGATATCTGATGACCATCGTGGTACTGCAGAGAACTGGAGAGAGTACAAATCTACAGTCCGGATTCCCATGCTCAATAGGACGAGAAAAGACTCTTTTCAGGAGGTTGAAGGTACAGGAAGCAGGAGTGTAAGAAGACAACAGCAGAAAGACTTGACAGGTGAAGAAATATCAGACGTACAAAAAGGAAATTCTGGTAATGAACACACTTTTACATAGTTTCTTCAAGTACGATTACTTTCTGTGTGCTTGTCTTGGAAGTATGACTTCAAAATTCACTATAAAAAATAATGTTCTATAACATGTAGAAGTTGCAAAAATTTTGATTGTACAAAGTTGTAATTCTTTAAGTAATGTAGTTACAGCATGTGATGCAGAATTTGTTTTCTTACTTGGCCTGCTGGGAATTTTTTTGGTTTGGCAAGTTTATAAACATGTAGATAACATACTTGTGATGGCCCAGTCTGCAATTCTCGCACTTTCCCAGTTTCTGTTTGATCAAATTTAACTCATGAGGTGGGATTGAAGAAATTGCTACAGGAGCACATGATAAAGTTGCATGCAACTTTTTCAGTAAATTGGGAGAAAAGGTTAAAAAGAAGAAAGGCAATGTATAAATATCTTGTTCTTTTTTTTCCAAGAAGATCATTTTGTGATATAATTAGCTAAATCAGAATCTGTCACTGGAGCACTTTGATTTTGAAAATTATATTCCTCCCTAAGGGAGAGCAGAATAAAGTCCATGCTAAATCAGTGCATTCACAGTTTTTGTCAGTGTTATGGCAGTGTGTTGAAATAAGTGATCAGAAATTTCTAATTTATGAAGTTTTCTTTCTTTTCTTCCCCTGAGTGCCATCCTAGGCCTCCCCTGCCAAAACATATTGGAGGTACTGTGTATCTGTCTTTTCCTCCATGCTTTGTCTTAAACTTTTGGAGGTGAACTGTGCTGACATGGGGTATACCTGTTGTCCCTTTATTCATGCTTCCTTTAGATCTTGTTCCCAAATGCCACTGTGTAGAACTGTGAGAGGGAGACCTAGAGACCTAGAACTTGATGATTAAAGGAGGATTTTGTTAAACTGATGATGATGATGATTTGTGTTCAAAGATATAAATAAGGTAATGAACAAGGAATGCTTTTAATATAGGCAAGATTAAAAACAATGTGGAGGTGTAATGAAGTACTGGAAAGAGGCAGAAATAGAGCAGCGATGGAAAAACTATTTTTCCCTCTATTTTAGTTCTTAGAGATTAAATAGGACCATTTGACACGCAGTAGTGATATTTCTGAATACTTTTCTCTCCTTTTCCCTTTTTGTCTGTCTCATCTAGGATAATTATGCCTTTCCTAGGTTATTCTAAAAGATAACTTCAGTACATTTTTCACAGGAAATAATGCTTGTATCATATAACGAATACATGGATTTATAAACAGCAAACTAAATCTCCCAATTTAAAGGAAAAGTCTGAAGTGTCTAAACTGTGTAGAATCATGTTTAAAATAATATACAACAGCAGTCCCTGCAGACTTAATTCTCACTCTGATTCCTTGTGATAGTCCTCTCCTTTCTTGGTAGAAATCTAACTTTTTTTAAATAATGCTGAAGATCCTAACACGTCTTACCACTTCTCTCTGAGTCCAGCTCCACCTCCCCATCAGCTCCTTCCTTCTGTCAAACTGCCATAGAACCTGGAGCGCTACCCAAGTTACAGCTTGCAAGTTATCAATCACAGTCTCTTCCTCCTAATAGAGGCAACATTTTTTGCTTGACTGATGTTTAAACCCCACTGAACTGGTGACAATCCTGAATGAATGAAAGAAAACTAGATATCTAGATTGTAGCTTGGTCTGGATATTGTCTCTTTGTGGCTATAGCTTCTATTTCAAACTCCTTCTGTACTTGACTCATGCCTAGTGAGTACATGAATCTAAAATATACTGGGTTAATGAGAACATGCAAATCCATTCACCCTATTATAAGACTTTCTCTCTGACAGGGAAGCTATTCAACCGGACAGGTAAGAATGTCATCTTAAGATGGCAAAAGACTGGAATTATAGGATTTCTTTCATAAGAAGAAAAAGAAAGCCATGAAAACCTGGCTTTACTTTTCCTGTAATTGTAGACTAATAAACTAAGTATTAACCATCCACCATCAAATGATGTTATGAGTCTCAAATCACTTTTACTATTGCTGTTTAAAGCAGCTATTTCTTTGCTTGCAGAAATGAATACTCAGTTGACATGAGCAACAAAACTTCATGTATAGCCATTTAATATTTTAAAAAATTAAATTTTAGACTCAGATCCATCTATTCTGAGTAGGTGAGGTAGTTGAGAGTAAAACTGAATAACATGGAAAGCTCAAAAATGTTGACACTTATGGGGAAGAGTAGTTATGAAATAAGAGATGGGGTAACACCAAAGAAATGAAATGCAAACAACTTTTGATATCCATTTCTTCTGTTTACTAGGACTTCTGGCAGGGTTCTTTCTTCTGTCAGCTCCTGGCTTGTAGACACCAGGCATTATTGAAGACCACCAGGCCAGCCTGCTTCTGGAAGGGAGAAAGCAGCTGAATGATACATTATTCTCATCAGTAACTTTGTGGGCAGTAAGCAGCATTTGGAATAGTAGTGCAGGAATTTGTCTTGTGTACTTGACCAGACAGCACTATATTGCTTCACACATGGCAGTAAATATGGCTCACAGATTAATTCAAATTTTGTTTTCTTGCTTTTATAAAACAAACAAAGTTTAGAAATGATGCGTTAGAAACCTGGCAAACAAGGTTCATTCCTATTTCTCATTGTCATATGAGATTAGTTAAGTCCTGAAGCAGTAACTGGATATTCACAGACTTAAAATAAATAAATAAAATCAGTGAGTCTAGGATACCTGGGACTCCCATTGCATTTCAGACTTCTGAAGAGCATGTAAAACCCTTTGGTGCCTATCCTGTTAACTTGTGCAGGTTTTTAAGCTTTAAAAACAAGAAGCCTGCTGCATAAATCACTGCAGTGGTTTATGTGCAGCCAGGGGACTTTGCTGACAACTTTGTGAAACTAGAGGAGTAAAACCCAAAAGCTCTAATTGACTTCAGGACTGCCTTTTAAGAATTATGAGAGCCAGAATTCTTTGAGTGAATAGACATTTTTGTATAGATGAATGGACTGAATGAAGCAGGGAAGCTCCTGATTTCTTTTCTAGATGGGCAGGAGAAGAAAGGTAGCCCACAAGTTACTGCTGAATGAAAGCATGAAGTAGAGCAGGGATTGACAGTCTTTTGCCAGTGAACTAGCCATGACTGTGGGCTTGAAATCTCTGCACTCTTCCCCCTGCCCCACAGCAGAGGAGCTAGGTGGCACAGCGCAGCTCTGTACCACCATTTCCCTCTGGCCTGTGGGCCATAGGTTGACCCCTGTTCGAAAGGGTCTTCTGTATATCAAGAGGCAGCAGGAGTTTTTGGTACTACGTGATGTATTGAAGCAGCTCTGGCACTAACTGATTATTAGGAAGCAAACACTTTGTATTTAAGTTGTGTAACAAAGCGAATAAAAATGAGCTTTTGGCAGTAATAAAGACCTTTTTTTTTCCTGGAGTCAGACTATGAGCCAGTGTATTGGGGCAGAGTGGCAGAACTTAAATGTCCTTCAAGGGATGAGTGTTGGAGACTAAACAGGAATAGCTTAAGGCACGACAGGAAGTGTGGCAATGCAGATGCTGCTTAACAAGTCTAGTAATTATAGTTATTGAGTGAGTAAGGTAAAATTTTGCAGGCCTTGCTATGGACAACAGTGAAATGTTCATAATCCTCTTTACGGAAAGATAGGGACAGCAGAGGTAGACTCTGAAGTTAGTTACTAGTAGGGAACACTGAAAATAAAGACATCATCTCTTCTTTTTCTGGAGTTGTAGATTTATAAAATGTCTAGTAGACAAAGTTATATGGCACCTTTTTTATCAAACTGAAATCTGAACTAGTGCTGGGTATAAGTAGTTTTGGCATACCCTCTTCCCAGTTCTGGCATTTCATACATGGCTGTTAACCCTGTTAAAGGAATGAATAAAAAAAACACTTAACCCTTGTTTGTAAACCTACATCAGCGAGAAGCTAAATAGGCAAAGCACTAGTCAATGCACACACAAAACTGGGGAAAAATAAAAGCCCTCTAATTTTTTTATCCTGGCAGTTCTAGGTATTTCCTATAACTTTTTTTTTGTTTGTTTGTTTTTTTAAAAAGGAATTATCATGTAACCTACCTCCCTTGAAAGTCAGAGCCTTCAGGTAGTATCCCTGAAACACTTGGTACCCTTTCTTTATACTTGTTGAAGTTTTCCTGCTTAAAATCAGTACAAGCAAAAATCAGTTGCCAGTGTGAGAACTTCAGAATAACAAGAAGAAAGGAAGCTGAGGGAATTTTTTCAGAGGCATTCAAGCCTTTAAAAGATCTTAACGTTCTGGCCAATATTTTGGTATTTGCATGAGAGGAGAGCTGTAATTTCAGCTTCCTGAAATCTGGCTTACATTTACCCACTTCTGTTGGAGCCAAAGATTACATTTTACCTGTATACTTTAGACCAAAAACAATTTCTTTTGCACAAATGCTGACAAAGCTAGATGCAGTTTGGAGACAATATTTACATTCACGCTTCTGCTAGAAGTTTAGCTATAAACTTAATAGTTTATTTCTTGTGCACACATTTACAGTTGCATCCACTGAGTTGTTTTAGCAGGTGAGACCTATTGGTGTGCTTTATCTACCATTTTGTTATTTAATTGATTATTGTAGTCTAAAAGTCTAAAGGTAACTTCACCCAGTGTATTGCAGTACTTACAATTCTAAAAGCTTGCCTTTTGGGGGAATAAAAACATGTGTTGCTATAATATCAAGACTTCAGTTGAGAGGGAACATCTTCAATGTATGTTAAATTGCTTCAGTTGGATTTGTTTGGACCTATACCTCTCATGTGACACTTGCACAGCATGCTGTCAGCGCATAATTTAGCTTCTGTGGCATTAACTTGAGCTTCATGTAGTGAGGAGCTCAGGTAGGTTTAAGTTTCAAAATTTATTGCAATTTCAGCACCAGTAGATGGAAGCAGGTATGTCCAGAAATGGAATATAATCCTTCCCTGACTTATTCAGTATTCTTTAATCAGTGGGTATGTTCTGTGTCCTCAGTTTATTACCTTGGGATATTTTATGCATATCAAGTTGACAGTAGAACTGTTGTTGTCTTTTAACTGTTGTTGCTCAGACAAGAACGTGCTATTAAATTGTTTGACTTCATGGGTCAAAGGTTGGTTGCTATAACTTAAGTCCCATAGCTGGTAAGAATCTAAATAAACATGTAATAGGATATGGCATGAAAATATACAAAAGTGTACTATTGCATTTTTTTACAAAGATGGTGACTTGCATATGACAAGGAAAAGCAAATTCTGTGACCAGCAGGTACTTGTGTCTGCTTCTGCAAGTGCATTAATAGAAAGAAGAATGAATGGTTCTATATCATTATCTTACAACACGTGTTCTGGTAACTCTTTAAGAAATGAAGAAACATAGGAAACCAAGGAGATCAAGAAGAACTACTAGAAAAGAAGACTATGAGCAAGATGAAGATATGGAAGGTCCTGTCATAGATGAATCTGTGCTGTCAGTAAAAGAACGACTAGGGTTGCAGCAGGCTGAAGAACGATTAAAACGAGACTGCATTTACAGGCTAAAGAAGGTGACATTGGCTTTACATATATACTAGTTTCATATTTTATCAGTCTGCAAATAAGAACCCAAGGCACCCGCTTACCTAAGAATTACACTTTATTTAGCTACTGAAAGGCCTGTTACTAATGATCAAATCTATGAAACTTACTTGTGATAAAATGGGCCCTTAATGGACAAAAAGAACAATAAATTCAACAGCAGGCTTATATGCCTTTGTTATTTTCAGTGTGTACTGCTACAGTTTATTGCATCTCCCTCTTGAATATCCAAATAGCTAGGCTCTAAGGTTGGAATCAAAAAAAGAAGGAAGACATTTCTTTTTTTGACATTAGAACATCCAACTAGACTGAACTGGTATATCAAATGAAGGCAATATCTTCTTGTAACTTAGTGTGTTGACTTTTTAGCGACCTCGAAACTATCCAGCAGCCAAGTATACCTGCAAATTGTGTGATGCTCTGATTGAGTCGGTGGCATTTGCTCATAAGCACATTAAAGAGAAAAGGCACAAGAAAAACATGAAGGTGAGTTAATAACAGCTGTAAATTAGTAACAGCTAAATGCATATAAAGCATAGATTTGTAAAACTGTTTTTTATTCTGATAATAATTAAGTTGCCTCTAAAGTCTCTCCTTGTTGGTTCTTGCCATACTTATTGCCCAGAGTAATATACTTTGACTTTTAGGAAGGCTTTTGATACAGTCTCCCGCAACATTATTGCAAGCAAGCTAAGGAAGTATGGATTGGATGAACGGACTGTAAAGGGGATAGAAAGCTGGCTGGATCATCAGGCGCAACGGGTAGTGATCAATAGCACAAGGTCTAGTTGGCAGCCAGTATCCAAATGTATTGCCCCAGGGGTCACTCCTGGGACCTGTTTTGTTCAATATTGTCATTAACAATCTGGAAGATGGGAAGGATTGCGCCCTAAGCAAGTTTGCGGATGACACCAAGCTGGAGGATGTAGCAGATAAGTTTCATAGTTGGTAGGGTCAGAAGGGACCTGAGCAGATCATCAAGTCCAACCCCCTGCCATGGCAGGAAAAGTACTGGGGGCAAACAAACCCAGCAAGGTGTTCGTCTAACCTCCTCTTAAAGACTCCCAGGGTAGGAGCCAGCACCACTTCTCTTGGAGGTTGGTTCCAGATCCTAGCCACCCTGACAGTAAAGTAGCGCCTCCTGATGTCTAGTCTGAATCTACCCTCTACCAGCTTGTGACCGTTATTTCTAGTCACTCCTGGTAGTACTCGGGGGAACAGGGAATCCCCCAATGCAAAGTTGGAGGATAGGGTTAGGATTCGGAGTGACCTCAGCAAATTGGAGGATTGGGCCAAAAGAAATCTCATGAGGTTCAAGAAGGACAAGTGCAAAATCCTGCACTTAGGATGGAAGAATCTGATGTGCTGCTACAAGCTTGGGACCAACTGGCTAAGCAGCAGCTGCAGAAAAAGACAGTAAGCTGAATATAAGTCAACACTGCCCTGTTGTCAAGAAGGCTAACAACATACTGGGCTGCTTTAGTAGGAGTATTGCCAGCAGATCAAGAGAAGTAATTATTCCCCTCTATTCAGCACTGGTGAGGCCACATATGGAGTACTGTGTCTAGTTTTAGGCCCCCCCACTACAAAAAGGATGTAGACCAGTTGGAAAGAGTCCAGCAGAGGACAACAACAGTAGTTAGGGGGCTGGGGCCATAACTTGTTAGGAGAGACTGAGGGAACTGGGCTTATTTAGTCTGCAGAAGAGAAGACTGAGAGGAGATTTGATAGCAGTCTTTAACTACATGAAGGGTAGTTCCAAAGAGGGTGGAGATAGCAGTGGTAAAAGATGACAGAACAAGGAACAAAGATCTCAAGTTGCAGCAAGGGAAGTTTAGGTTGATTATTAGGAAAAACTGTCTTACTAGGAAGGTGGTGAAACACTGAAACACAGGTTACCTGGAGAGGTGGTGGAATCTCCATCCTTGGAGGTTTTTAAGGCTCAACTCAACAAAGCCCTGGCTGGAATGACTTAGTTGGGGATGGTCCTGCTTTGAGCCGGGTGTTGGATTAAATAACCTCCTGAAGTCCCCTCCAGCCCCCTCCAGCCTTTCTATGATTTCTGTAAATTGTTGAAATCTCTGATTTCTTGCCCCTTTCTTGGTTTCATCATACTAGACCTGGTTTATTTTGAAGGCCTACACCCTAGCTCCATAGTATAAAAAAGGATACAAAATTACTAATTGGGATAAATAATGTGCATTCACCCCAAACTTCAGTAGAGTAACTGAAAAGAACCACTAAAATATGTTATGGTATGGTTAACTTTAAAGGAAAAACAAGAAGAGCAGCTGCTGACTACCCTACCTCCACCAACACCTTCCCAGATACAAGCAATTGGTGTTGCCATTGGAAATGTTGTACAGGAATTTGGCTTAAATAATGAAGATCTGGAGCAAAGGTCCAAAATTAATATAATGATGGAAACCTTACTACATCAAAAATTGCCAGGTATTACTTTTGCCATTTTGTTTGTTTGCTAGATATTATTGTCTGTCATTTTTTTTCCTTTCTCAAAAGAGTAATCTTAATATCACATTTGATAAGTTGTAGTATGAATATAGGATTTTAGTATAACAGTATGCTATAATATATAGTATTTATTATATGCTAGCATAATATGTTCCACTTGGGGATATGTGACTAGTATTTCAGCTTGAAAATTCTAAGTCATATCAGGTGCCAGTGACAATAAAGGAGCAGCTGGGATCAGCAGGACATAGGAAAGTCCTAGGTTTGGCTGTGATCTTGACCCCTTCACCAGCGGGGTTATGGGAAGGAAAAGGCAGAGCTGCTAGGTCAGCTCTTATCCTGGGAAGACTCTTCCTTACTCAGGGCAATCTTCCCATAGCTATGTACACCTGCTCTAGGCTTGGAATCTGCTGGCAGTACAGTAAAGTATCTGCTCCCCACTTTAGGATGTAGACTGCTATTGATTTAAATGCACCAAATTCTTTTGTTTGCAGAATGCTCATTAAGGCTGTATGGTTCTTCAGGTAGCAGATTTGGTTTCAAAAATTCTGACATAAACATTGATATCCAGTTTCCAGCCAGTGTAAGTAAGACAGCTTTTATTATAAATGTGTCTGTGATTTTTGGATTTATTTTACACGCACAGCCTTCATAATAGTGCAAAATCACAATAAGATTTTTACTGAAATGCATCAACTAATTGAAAGTCATCCTATTGAATGTTGCTCTAAAAATAACGTTTTCCTTTTCCTGTTTGCGCTACTTGTAGCAGTAATATTATTACTTTTCTTTGGGAATAGAATCTTCCATCCAAAGAACCCAAAGCACTTCATAAACAGTAGTGAATTAAGCTTCATCTCCTACCAGCCCAGGAAGCAAATGGAGATATTTATCTCCGGTTCTGGCTTCCCCAGCTGTAAAATGAGGTAGTATCTTACAGTAGGACATTCAGTAAATGGAATATACCTTGGGTTTTTTGCCAGTCACTTTATGCTTTGACCACAAAAGGCATGAAGAATTAGAAATCCAACTTTGCACTTTTTATGCTGTTTTTAGTGCAGTTCAATACTGTATAGCAGAGAGATACTTCAGACTACAGTAGGCATTTGATTCTGTCCTTGTCCTTCCCCAATAATAGTTGGTTTGATAGCTGCATAATTAAACTCCATCTTTCCAACTCTGCATTATCTCCAACTCTGCATTAGGGCATAGGAAACCTTGAGACTGCTGGTACCTAGTGTCACATTGCTTGTAGAGAAGAACCACAACAGTTGACCACTTTATCCCTTCAAAGCCTACAGGATGGGGTATGCAGGTCTTAACCCATCATCTGTAGCTGTCGTCAGTATACCTGCATGATGAGATGGAATAATCTTTTCTGGAAATCAGGGTGCTGTTTAACTTTTTCTTGAAACCAGGGTGCAGATAGTTAGGCAACTCAATCCATATTTATATCCTTAAAATAAAAAATTCTTTTTAAGAAGCCTTTACATACTGACAACTCCCATTAACTTCTATAGATTACTTGACCTTTCTGAAACTTGGACCAGTTACTTTAGATGCTTAACTGGAAGACCACCAGTTTAAAAATCTTTGCCTTTCGTGTCTGAATATTAGAAATCTGTCAAAAATGATGCCACTTAAGTTTTTGTCTTTCTAACCAGAACACGGACAAGCAGTGTTCTGGTTAGAAACACACTGTCACTGACTGGTTTGTTCTGTCTTGGAATTGGATTTTATTAAGGCTTTGAACAAATCAATTAAGAAAACAAGAAAACCACAGGAAAAGGGTGGGGTTTTTTTACCAAAGACTAGGTTACAGTCTCATATTTTAGATTCAGTGACTGTTTTACTATTTTTCATGGCAGTGTATCTACCAACAGATAAAATATGCTTAAAGACCCTGAGATGGTTCAGGAGGAAAGGACACTTTCCTGACATCGGCCTAAAGACTTTGCTGTTTTAAAAGTTATACATTTAAGCAGTTCTCAAAAAGAAAAAGGCGCAATGCTTAAAAAAATTATTTTCTTAAATATCTTGTTCTTTGCAGATCCCTGTGCCTGTGGTTTAGTATCTTCACCCAGTTCCTTCTCACTTTATTCAGCTATTATATGATTAAAGATAACCTTGATTTAGATCGGTGTTTCCCAACCTTTTCCAGCCCAAGGCACGCTTACATTAGTAAAAATTTTCTGCGGCACACCTGTTAAGGCATTCCCAATCCTCATACCTGTTGTAGCTCATTGCCATGGCTAAATTCCATGGCATACCTGTTCATTTCTGACGGGGCACATTTGTGCCGTGGCACACTGGTTGGGAAACACTGCCCTAGATGATCTGTATACAAGATAATTTTGCAGACTTGTAAAGGAGCAACTAGAATTCTGGGTTCCCTGACTTCCTAGGATATATTGCAAGCTTTCATAATGACCCATAAAAGGAAGAGTAGCCTCCTGTCCTGTATTTTCTTAATCTGGATAGTTGTAAAACATTTTAAAAGGCATGTTAATATTTTGTACATTATTTCTTTATTTTAACAAGTCCTGTTTATTCTTGTTTAGTAAAGAAATGCTCAGGTGTAGGAGAAAAAATAGTCGAAGTTCTGAAACTGCATAAAGAAGCAAAGCATCCTAGAGTTGTTCTTTAGGACACTGATCAACCTTTTGGAAATCTATTGGTGTATTGGACTTTTATTTATTTCTTTTACTTTCCATTCTGTTTTTGTCTTGAAACTAAAAAAAAGAAAAAAATCCCACTTTAAATTCAAGAATTATGCCTGTTATGACCTTGTGGTTTGTGTTCCATCCCTGGAGTTGAGGGTTGTAGTAATTCTTCACAATATAGTGAAAGGCAGGAAATGCACTGTAAAATGTGTACTCATCAGTATAAATGTTAAATTCCACACACAGGAAGGATTGAGAGCTAATAAGCCTAATAAAACTGCAGTGGCAGATGCATATTTCCATTTGGTTTGCTTTATTAATTTTGTCAATTTTTATCTTCCTCTACATAATCAGCTTTGTGAGTTCTGCCTAGTGCATTGGAGGAGAGAGTGTTTGATAGAAAATGTGATTTTTTTTTTTTGATTTTCCCCCCCCAAGCTGTAGCAATTTTTGTAGGGCTGGGGAATAGTAGAACTTGAAGTTACCTCTGTGTTTCTCTCCCAGCTGCCCAGATATCTTTTAAGTCACATGGCACAAACTCCAAAGATTAGAAGTTAATAGTCCCTATGTGCAGTTACTTTTTTTTCCTCCCTGCATGTAGGGTCCTTCCTCCCCTCATCCCCCATGCCCTCCCTGACATTATGAAAGGGACACAGTAAGAATTTGAAATGGGGTTTTTTGTTTATTTGGTTTTTTTTAAGTATTGATTGTTGTTCTTGTGAAAAAAGCAACAACTTTAATACTAGTGTCTAGATACCCCAAAGTATAAGAGCAGAATTAGAATAACAAACTTTTTCATGTATTGAAATACGTGTGTGAGTGGGGGTGTATTTAATATTATGCTACCATGGCTGGATCTCCCGATTTTGAAAAAGGGTGTGCAGGTGGTGTGGTACACCATCCAATATAACCGCATATTTTTCTCTAGGTAAAAAGAAACTAGGAGATGGACTAATATGCAAGGGGCCTAGGGCTATATTATTCGGTTTAAGATTAAAGATGAAACAAATATAACTTTATTGAAATGTGTTAAAAACAGTTGTCAGGGGTGTGAAACAGGAGATACATTACCAGACAGCAGAATTGTAGAAGAAAGGCTAGCTTGGTTAGTGGAACATCAAGGCAATTAAAAAGGAGACAGGGTCACTAACACCTATAAAATGAAGAGTTTAGAAGGAATCAGATTTTAATGAGCCATGAATTCAATTGACACTCACAGTTGCCTGAATAGAATTGCTGCTACTGCCAAGCAGTTTGGTTTTTAAACTTTGGGAGGAGCAGGAATCAAAAGAGGGTACAACTGCACCAGTGACACCCCCCCTTCCTGCCCCTGATCTGTCTCTGGTGTACACAGTAACCATTTATTAAGATTTTCATGTGAGATGATTGGGGACAGTGATCATGGGTCTTAATGTTTGTTTCAGTTTTCTCAAATATTAAACATTTTGACTTCTGATCTCAGTTTATAATATATCAAAGTCAGTCTTTCAGATGTGATCCAAGAGCCAAACAAGGCTGATTGATTCTCATTCATCTTCACCAATAATAAGCCCTGCCAGCCAAATCATGTTCTAAACAACATCTGTACCACTGTTGTGTTTCAAAGGTGTGTTCCACATGTGTGCAGAAATGTAATCCTGTGCTGTCTTGGTCAGCTCACCACTAACCAATGTAAAAAGTATTTAAAAAATAGTTTTAATTAGTAAAGGCAATAGATTTAATCTGACACATATATGGAAACCAATCTCTTGAGTGAGGAATCATTTTTCAGAGTAGGACAACATTTAAAAACATTTCAGTATTTTAGTGTTGTAACTTCTATTATTTGACTGATATATTTGGGTATCATTTTGCAGATGGCTCAACCAGATGTTCTCTTAGTTGTACAGGAAAGTCTGAAAAACAGTGGTAAGAAACAGAACTTTGCTGCTTCGTTTTATTTCAAAATCATTTTTTACCATTACCAGTAGTTCGAGTTCCATAATTCTTAAAACGGAGACATCAAACTAGGCACTTACCTGACTTATAGAACAATGTAAATGGTTAAAAATGCAGTATACTATGTGAATGTGTACAGAAATTTATTGTTTCAGTTGTATTTTCAGGTTTCTGGCTATGGTAGCTATAGTACCTCTCATGTATTAGAAATTCTAGTTGGTGTGGTTTTATTTTCTCCCCCCGTTAGAGATGGAGATACCATCAGACTTAAAGAATTCTGCTGCCTCTTTCCATTGTTTAGATTGTTAGGGTTACCTTATATAGTGTCATGGGTAGGCATAGTGTTTCTGACTTTAAGGCACAGACTAAGCCCAAGAATTTAAAGTTCTGTTCGCACACAGAATGATGTGCTAATCATTTTGACTAGCTCATTTCAAAGTTGTTTGGAATCTTGTTAAGTTTAAAATACAGAAATGGCCTTGAAGGATTTTAGTAATGTCTGACTTTCTAAATGCAAGTAAAAAGGGATGTGATATCAAAGCAATTGATTGAAAAGGAAAAGTAAGAATGGAAAGGAGATTGATGAAAGAAGTGAATGGGGAGTGAGGATTATATAAAGTAGATACAAGAGGACTGAAAAGCACAAATATGAAAGGAGGCAATGGAAGAGGGCCTATTAAAGGCAGACTAGTATAACGTCAGTTAGTCTGCTGTCATATATTGATATATTGTCTCGGGGCTACTAGGAAAAATGGTCTTAAGTGGCTTCTTTCTGTTTTTTCATTTGAGATTTACTTCCCGCCCTTTCATTCTCTACCCCAGCTCAAGAATTACATTTGTACACTCCTCTAAAAACTACTGAACTTACTCTGAATTTTAATCTATGTACAGTAAAATGACAAACTAGATGCATGCATTGAAACTGATGTTTAGTATGTATGTTTGTTTATAGCTAGTGTATGTATTATTGACCCTGCAGTGTTCATTTTTCCTTGCACTGCTTAAACACAACTGCTGAACTTCCTTTCCTACCAGCACTAATGCTGTATAGGTTAGAAGTGGTACAAGTTCCATACCACATTTTTCCCTTTTATACTTTGAAAACTTACTTTATAAGATCATCCCAGCACTGGCCTGACAGACTTCTCTTACTTGCTAGAGTTGGTGGACAGTATATTTCTACAGTAATCTAGGAAAATGAGACCCCCCCCCCCCCTATTTATCTGTATTCCTTGTACTAAATCAATTTCCAGGTGAACACAAAAATGTTTATCAATGTTTCTTAATGTGTTTTATTTTTTTCCCCCCCCAGAATCTTTTATTGATGTTGATGCAGATTTCCATGCTAGAGTACCAGTGGTGGTGTGCAAAGAAAAGCAAAGGTCTCAGTTGTCAATTTGTCTGTTCTAAATAGCATATAGCAATGTAGATTACACATACCAGCGCCTGTAAATGATGCTTCTGTACTAAATTATTACAGTTCCATGGATGTTGAGAGACAAACTAGGAATGGACTTGCCCATAAGTATTAGGCTAGAATAAGAGGGTAAGGGTTATTCTGTCCTCACCCCCCTCATCACCAATCCCCTAAAGAATAGCTGCTGTTTTTAGCATGCACTCTGCTTTCTTCTTGGGATGATAGCTAAAGTAAACAACTTACTTCTCCTTGATTAATGCAGATTTAATATTTGTTTGGGAAACTTAAAAAAAAAAATGTGAGGGCTGGTTGTTTAGTTTTTAATACCCTGTTGAGAAGGGCTAGACATGTACAGTATTTATCATTATGCACATTTAACATATACCACTTTGGATTCATGAGATGTTCCTCTAATTAGCTATTGACACAGTAGCTCACTGTTATGTGGCCTTTCTCTTGTATGCATCCCTATACTCTAGAAATGGTTTATAAACTGTTTTTAACTGGGTGTGGTCTATGAATTAGGATAATTTTCTTATAAGTAAATTCACAGTAGATTTAGTTCAATGAACTAAAATTACTTGGTTACTAAAAGCAAAAAGAAAATTCAGAAATTAAATGAAACTGCCCAGAAATTTAAAATGTACTTTTAAAGGGTTTAAAATGTTTACATTCCAAATCTAAAATGCACACATTGCTTGCTTCCTTCAATTGTAAATGTTAAGTCTCTGAGGCTGTTTAAATCTTTCCTTATAGCTCTAAGCCAGAGGTGGCCCGCCAGGCCATTCTGTCTGGCCAGCGAGGCCCCTAAAAAAAAAAAAATTACAAAATCAGTATTAATCTGTCCTGGGCTGCCTGTCATGTGGCCCTTGATGGCTTGCCAAAACTCAGTAAGCGGCCTTCTGCCGAAAACAATTGCCCGTCCCTGCTCTAAGCTGTAATGGTTTTTAGGATTTCATCTGATATCATCTTTTTAAGACTGTTGCGTGGTTTTTTATTTAGTTTCTTCATTGTTTCTAGTGGCCTTGTCTGTAAAATAAGTGCAGGAAATGAAAATGCCTATCTTACAACAAACCACTTGGCAACGCTTGGAAAACTAGAACCTACACTTGTACCACTAGTTATTGCCTTCAGGTACTGGGCAAAGGTGAGTCTTTATCTTGTGTAGTGCTTTTTATCCAACATATGATGAGTTTCTTAAGCATGCATCTAGGTAAATGTCAGCTGTATATGAAAGTATAGGCATATCTTGGTTTTTACCACAAGTAGATGTTTTACCATAACCATAATGATCTATTAACAAACTCCTTTTTGTGTATTTGCTGAGCTTCTAGCTAAATTCCTAACAATGCTTTCAATGTAGAAAGTACTACCATTTATATCTTTTTGTGCATCTATTCATCTTTATTCCATGCACCTGATCAGCAACTGCAATAGTGCTTTGGGTGCATAAGAGATGTTTGCTGCTCTTTCCAGATTATATGTAAAATATTCTTTATTCTTAATTTGTCAAATGAAGTAATTTTTCACATTTCAAATTAATAGAAATTAGAAAGAGCTCTGGTGAAGAAACATAAGAAAGATGTTTTCTTATGTGATGCTAGTAGCCAAATGTGAATGATGATAGAGTATGTTTCTCTAATACAGAGTGTCTATTTATAATGGTGAACTTAATCATCTTTGGTTACGCTGTTAGGTAGTGTTCTGTTGGGCTGGGCAAAGCTTTGGTCACCGATTCAATTCAGAGGAGATTCGGACCGATTCGGCGGTCAAATCTCTGATTCTGAATTGAATCGAGAGACCCATTAAAAGGTCTGAATCTAATCTGAAGCCTCCAAATTGATTCGGAGATTCAGATTGGCTGGAGAGAGGCAGGCACAGCTGGGCGGCTGCAGGTTCTTTTGCTGTGCGGTGGGGCTCTGCCACGAGCCCTCAGAAGCCCTGATCCCCACTGCTGCAGCCTGTGAGTGTGGGGCTGCTTTTTTGTTAAGTGCCGAGAGGTTGGGCTGAATGTGGGATGGGGCTGGGCAGGGCAGCCATGGTGGCTTCTCCCCCTGCCCATGGAGAGGCAGGCACAGCCGGAGGAGAATCTGCAGCCGCCCAGTTGTGCCTCTCTCTCCCCGGCCAATCCGAATTGTTGAATTGGCACCAAATCTTCAATTATGATTCGGCTGACTCGAATGGGAACAGTGATTCAAATCACCAGATTGAATAACCGTCCTCCGAATTGGCTGAATGCAAATCCAAATTGGAATCAAATACTTCCCTATTCACATAGACCTAGTGTTCTGGGTATACATTTCTTCAGTAGCTTCAGAATGTGCAACTACAAAAATAAGATTTGCAGTTGGTTTGGAGTTTGTTATATCATTATTGTTTAAATTGAAAAGGATAACTTTTTTCAGAGATTTATAGGAATTACATGCCTGTATCTTGTCGTTTCATGTATAATCCCAGTCATAGCGTATCTTCTGGCTCCCGTGTCCAGAAGTTTATCAGAACCAATGTACATAGAATCAGTATGTTTATAGTGTAGAAGTAAGCACAATAAATACATGAAGCCCTGCTAAATCAAGCCTATACCTTAATATGGAAATAAAATAGCTTTGTCCAAGTGTTAAGTCTCTCTCAGCTCTTAAATTGGCTGACTTTTGCAAATAGGAAATAATTTATACTTGTAAAGATGACGTGATATGATGCCTGAGGCAGAGAAACATTAATAATTATTCCTTCTTTTTTTATAGCTGTGTTGTGTTGATCGTCCTGAAGAAGGAGGCTTGCCACCTTATGTATTTGCTTTAATGGTGATTTTCTTTCTACAGCAGAGGAAAGAACCACTTCTCCCTGTTTATTTTGGATCATGGGTATGCATGTTTAAGTATTTTGAATCTGAATATGGTAACTTCTATATTTTTGTGGTACAAGTATGTAATAACTTACCTCTTCCTTTTTCTGGGTCAGAGGTGGAAAAGGCTCTTAACAAGAATATGTGAAACATGTTAAATGCAAGGTGGGGAGGGGAACTGTTAAGTTCTTCAAACTCAGATAATGAAATGCCAGAATTAAAATTATCTGAGCAAATGTAGTTCCACCTCTCTGTGCATGTGTATTGACAGATTCTAGTTATATAATCATTTTTCCCCCCCACAGGATTCCAGACTCATTCACTGCATAGAACAGAAAGTACTCACTTAATGAGATGCTTTTTATATTGTTTTCCCCTCATTGTTTAATGTGTGGCCCCATGCCTCACTTACAACACATTGTTCAAACCTGCTGTGAAGGCAGATTTATTAATTTCCTCATATGCATGTCTGTGCACATGACTGTCCTATCAGAATGCTTCAGAAATATTAAAAGTAACTTGCTTTGGAATATTTCTGAGAAGCTAGGGGGGTGGCTATCTGCATTTTACAGGTAGGAGAATTAAAGCATAGAACTTAAAAGTCAAAAGAATTAACTAATTGTGTGTGTGCAGTTTAAGAAAACTGGGACCTGGTTTCTCCTTTGCTCAAGTATGTAACAGTTACATAATTAGAGGGCATTTAGCCAGTGAAACAGCTACAGATGCTGAAGATACTGAGACATTGAGTGCTTAAGCCAGTAGAGACAGTCTTAGGCACATGCAGAAACAGAACTTGAAACACCTAGAGGTCTTAACTGGCAAGACCACAGGTGTCTGCTAGTTTTAAATTCACACTCTTTGGCTTAGGCATCCAGCTCCTACCTCGGTTTTCTGTTTCTCTGTGGTAGAAGCACCCCAGTTCTGCAGGGCAGCTTTCAACTGCCTTCTTTTTTTCTTTCTTGCAGTCTGCAGCCTCATTCTCTACACACCTTTCAGCATCTGCAGTCAGAAAACTAGGGCCTACATAAATCTTCTTGACTCAAAAATTTGTGTTCACCTTTAGAACCAATCCATTGTCTCAGTGTCTGAAGTTGGGGTCCCAGGGGAAAAATAGTAATCGTATAACTAAAGATTTAATTATCGTGTGCATACTCAAGGGAGTGAATTAAGGTTATATAAAAGATGCATAAAATTCTTTAAATCACTTGAGTGACTTACTAGGGCTTAAGTATTTTTTAAAGGGTGGGAGGAATATGCAAAGCATGGAATAGCCTTTGTCAAACACTGATTGTTGCATCACATCCTGAGTTTGTGTACAAATGTCCATTTGTAGAGGCTTCAAAAAAAGAAAAGCGGGGTGGGAACTATTGCTTGGAATAAGCTGCAGCTCTGTTCCCAGCATAAAGCTGTGAGCAATATATTACTATGCCTGCATTTTTAAGTTGAGGGGAAAATTCTTGAAGTTAGTAAGAGTTTTTTCCATGCAGTGGGGCCAGGATTTAAATCTTAGTTTTGAATGACTCGGGGGAGATGATTTTAGGGAAAAAAACCTAACCAGTCTCTTATTATGTCTATCGTAAATCATGGTGATTTTGATCACCTCTAACATATTGACTGTTTTCTGGATACCATGGGAAAAGTGGGTTTCATGTACGCCAGGCATGAAACATTAAATATTTTATCTCTCTCTTTTTCTGTTTCCTCCAGATAGGAGGATTCTCACTAAACAAGTTAATGAACTTTAACCTTAAAGAGGTTGAGAATGATATTGTGGTCTGGGAACAGAATCCTGTGGATGATTCTGCCTCTCCAAAAGAAGCTTCTCCTAAAAGGGGCAAGGTCTGAATAATTTCTCTTGCTTGATAAGAGAGTCTATTGCTACTTTTACCTGTGAATAATCCAATTCTTTTTTTTTTTTTTAAGTTGAGTAAAATTGTGAAGTTAGGTGATCTGCCAAAGTGTATGGGTGTAGGTCTTCTGGTACTGGAAATCACATATGGAAGTTGGTGTGCCTTCCTAGCTTGCCCAAGAGAGAGACCCTTACTGATTGTATAATAACTGTCAGCATTTTTATCATGATTCTGAGAAATAGCTTAACTTCATAATTGCAAATCTAGTTGCATTAGTGTCTTGTACAGTGTAGAAATTATATTTTATTTAGTAATAGCTAGCTATAATTTTTGAAAAAATGAAAAATACCTAATTGTAGATGATAAAATCACTACCAGTTTTAAAATATATAGTACAAATGTATTTTAATTAAGCCTTTCAAGATAACATATTGGATGTATTTACACTTTTGTAACTCTTTTTGTAGTATTCTTTAGTAAAGACCACTAAAACAGGACAAATTAATGAAAAATAGAGACATTGCCTTCTAATGCACCCCATATTCAGTCTATAATAGAAAATAATACAGTGATTATTGCCTCTTTTTTGTCTCTTTCACATCACTTAACATTTTAAATTGCAAGTTTTAAAATATGTTATACTCTCATTTAACTCAGTATGTGCATATATAGTCATTAGTACTTTTTATATAACTTCCGTTGCAAGAAGTTGTTTTTTTTTGTATGTACATTAAAACTGAAGAAGTCTAATTTCTTTTTGTTCTATAATTGACAGGTTTCCTTGGTTTTTAATTTGGGACATCAGTGTTCAGCACCAATTGGGCAGCTCTGGGTAGAACTGTTTCGTTTCTATGCTTTGGAGTTTAACTTGGCTGATTTGGTTATTAGTATACGACTCAAAGAAGCAGTGTCTCGTGAATCAAAGGACTGGCCTAAAAAGCGTATTGCTGTAGAAGGTATGTGAAGTTTATCGTTAAACTCTGCATTTTGGATCCTCCAAGCTCCCAGCAACACTACAGTGTAAAAAAGAAAATCAGTTTAAGCAGTCGATATCTATCAGATGCCATCAAATGGCTTTAGCCTAGTATTTCATTCAGCATAGTATAGTGTTTCCTTCAGCTTAGTATAGTGCTCCGATCTGTTGCTATCATGCCTTTTAATACAGCTTGTTAATTTTAAATATTTATATATTTTTAATGTTGTAAGACAAATTAGGGCTTATCAAACCCTTTTCTGTTATGTTTGGTAATGAAGATGCTGACTTAATTCTATTCACTCGATTCATTTTTTTTTTTCTTCCAGACCCTTACTCAGTAAAAAGGAACGTGGCAAGAACTCTGAACAGTCAGCTAGTTTATGAATATATCCTTCATTGCTTAAGGGCAACTTACAAATATTTTGCCTTGCCTCACAAAAAGTCTTCATCATCCAGCAAGAAAACCCCTCTTAATGCCAATACAGAAATATCACGAAAGTTAAAACCTGAAAAGAATGCCATAATGCATGACACTGCTAATGTGCAAAACTTAAGTGATAAAACAGAGAAAGTGTTGGCAGGTGACTATATTAATAACACAAATGTATGTTCAGACATCCCTCAGGCTCATACGATCGATCCCTCAAAGCTGTTTGATGGCTCCGAAAGCCTTACAGAAGAAGAATTGGCAGAAGATATAGGACATTTGGAAATTACCCAGGAAGATTCAGATTGTGTAATTGAAGAGATTATTTCTGGTGATAATGAGGACTTTAAACCAAGCTGTGAAGAGACAGAAAGTGGAAATGAAGAGGAGGACGAGGAAGAGGAAGAACACGAACAAGAGAGAAAATGGCCAAACAGTTTGGTAGCTGTTAATCAGGATTTGGATGAAGACAGTGAAAATGGAGATCTCCCTATTACAGCAAATGAGCGTGATATTGAAACATGCAATATTTCAGACATGGAAGGCTTTCAAAACACGGCAGTTACAGAGAGTGATGAATATGGCTTAGAGTGCAGTGGGATACTGGATGAGAAGGCTGATATTGATGAGGAGAGTACAGAAGGTACTGATGAGCTAGATGAATCTCTGAACAAATTTGCACCTTCAGTACAGGACCAGATATCTGAAATCAATAATTCAGATGATGAGGATGAAGAGGAAGAACAATGTCTTGTCTTAAACCAAACAAAATGCGGTGATATTTTGACTGTGGAAGGTGAGCTGGACAACACGTACACTGGATCTGGAGATGAAGAAGCATTATCTGAGGAAGAGGAAGAATTGTCCATCCCTGTTAAATATGAAGACAAACAGTTGGAAGAAAATGTAGAAGAATCCCTCTTGGTAGATTTGAGTAAAGAGGATGTTACTGAAAAAGGAAGTACTTATGAAGGAAGCACAACAGTAGAACAACTTATCGAATCTGAGTTCTTTTATGAATTTAATAGACTTATTTTTACAAAGGGCAAGGTAAACATTTAACATCTAACCAGCTGGCAGCATAATTTAAACCTGGTAGAAATTGATATAAAAATATTTAGGTTTATTAGAAAAATGTTTGCTTGCTTGTTTTTTTTATATCTGTCTTGCTTTCTATTCATACAGTCTCCTACAGTGGTATGTAGCTTATGTAAACGGGAAGGTCATCTAAAGAGAGATTGTCCAGAAGACTTCAAAAAAATTGAACTTGACCCTTTGCCAGCATTGACGCCCAAGTTTTCAAATATTTTAGATCAAGTTTGCATCCAGTGTTACCGTAAGTTGTCAGTACCAAGGTCCCTTCTCCCCCCACTTTGTTTATGCTGGAGGATAAAATGAATTGTCAGAAAATTACATACTGTAGGTTAATGGTACTGAACCAAGACTAGGTTAATGTGTAAATTACACCTGACTTTTCATAGGTGATTATAAGTCTCGTCAAAATTGTGGTGAAGGATGTAAAATTTTAAAGTATATAGGCTGACCTTCTGGAAGGCTGATCTGAATGTAGAGTCAGTGTAAGCTTCTGTATATTTGGCTCCTCATTTAGGCATCTCCGTATAGACTTGACTTCAGGTACCCCCAATGACCTTCTTAACTTGGACCAATACCTTTCTTCTTGGTTATTTATTTCATTATTAGAAGTGACCGTGTGACAGAAAACCCTAGGGAGAACAAACAGAACAAATATTTACAAGGAATAACATGTTAACTTTGTAGTTCTCTGCCTATTTCTGTATTTACTTGCTTTTTTCAGTGTGATTTTTTTTCAACTCTGACCAGGCCAAATCTGTTCTTTGCGTAATGTACTGTATATTTGTGTTCAAGAAGAGAAACATCTACTCCTATCTCTTCTCTGTCTTCCCTTCTGTAAGTGGCAAAACTTAACTACTTGTTGTTGACCCTTTTTACATATTGCTTTGCATGAATTTTTTTTTCTGTTATTTTTTAAGAGGATTTTGCTCCAAATATTATAGAGGATCAGGCTCGTGAACATATACGTCAAAACCTGGAAAGCTTCATCCGAAAAGAGTTTTCAGGTAATTTTTATGTTGTTTTTTATGTTCTTACTTCAGCTTTAACTGCAGGGGGACTGAGAGCTCAACAAATTTATTGTGTCAGTATAAAGGATCTAGATTTTTTTTTTTTAATACCCTACCTATTTAATTGATCAAGATTCTCCTAGTTTAATATTAAGTTGTTTAATAGCAGTTTCTACATGATGATAGGGTCTTGTTCCTATGCATATACCATTTCCTGCCCCAGTAAGGCATATGCTCTCACTCTGTCTCTCTTTATATTTCTTTTATTCTTACTTTTAAAAAAATCAGTTGCAGGGATTGGAAAACTTGAAACTGGTATGGAGTTTGTTTTTGTGTGTTAAATTTTGCTTGTTAAGAAATAGCTATACATGACCTCAGCACAAAAGAGTAACAGCAGGTTAAGAACCTAGCAGTCGAAATTCAATAAAAGAGTTACCATATTTACCCAAATCCAAGATGTCTCTGGATTAAAGATGGACCCCCCCTCTCCGCCCCCCCCCAGTAATTACATTCTATACATGGAACATTTTAAATATTTTTCCATGTATAAAATCTAATTGTTGGGGTTTGTCTTAGATTCGTCATGCCCTGCCTCCCCTGCAACTTTCCACCCTTGCTCCCTGCAAATGCCTCCCCACCCCCTGCTCCACTGCATACCCTTCTTGGATTAAAGATGGCCCCCCCCTCTCCGCCCCCCCCCAGTAATTACATTCTATACATGGAACATTTTAAATATTTTTCCATGTATAAAATCTAATTGTTGGGGTTTGTCTTAGATTCGTCATGCCCTGCCTCCCCTGCAACTTTCCACCCTTGCTCCCTGCAAATGCCTCCCCACCCCCTGCTCCACTGCATACCCTTCATGTTGAATGGTTGGACAAAAACCTCATCTTGCATTTGAGTAAATATGATGTATAGTATTTTTAGCCACACCTTGCTAGCATAAAAAGAGACTATTTTAAAGCATTTTAATCCTTTCAAGATACCTGTAAACTTGCTAAAACCTCATGATAACCATTTTCAAGCTCATGATCAGAATTTCAAAAATATTTTAAAAAAACAGATTTAGGAAACGGCTCCAGAATTTCCATTCTTCTGGACATTTTTTTTTATTTTTGTCTGATTTCTAAAAACTGGAGTTTACTGGACCTTTTTCTGTTTTTAACCTAAACATGGATCATAATTTTTGGTTTATTTGACATAAATGTTCATCATGGCAAAAATGCCTTTTTAATTTTTGATACCTTGCATTAACTGAATTAGAACCTATTAACTTTGCAGGGCTGTCTTCCTTAAAAGAACAAGAAATTTGCCTTATTTATTAAACAGCCCCTTTAGAAAGTAGCTCAGTGTTTAACAGAGACATGGTATAACTGGGCCTGTTCAAAACCATGATTGTACGTCATGTTTTTTTATAGGAACAAGGCTGAACTTGTTTGGCTCCTCAAAAAATGGTTTTGGCTTCAAGCAAAGTGACCTAGATATCTGTATGACAATTGATGGACGGGAAACTGCTGAGGTAATTTGCATTGCATTTTTGTACAAATGTGTACATGTAGTTAAGTTGTACAATTTTTTTGATTCTATGACTAATCTTTTTAAAAAGAACCTTCACATTACGGAAAAACTCAAGTTGTCTGAAAAATCGGGTTGCTGGATTCAGCATTCCGGCTCGCTATCACTCGCTGTCTGTCGCTGGCTGTCAGCCATATCATCGTCTTATAAGAATTCTCTCCCTCACTGCTTAATTCTGTTTATGAATTCTGCAGGGAAGTGATGATGTTTTTCAAGGAAACTAAGATGCATCTGGTTCAACATTACAGGTCTGCTGCCTAATAAACTAGAGAAAGAACAAAGAGTGGAAAAGGAGCAAGACCTCCTGTTAATTAACAAATGTTTTAAGTGCAAATTTACATAAAAACAGAATACTAAAATATCAGTTAGTGCTGACCTTGTCTTAAGCTGCACTTTTTAAAACTGGTTTTGTATTATTGCCATTGTCTGTATAATTATATGCCATTTACTGATGACAAGCAAAGAGAAGTTTATCCGCTGAAATGACTTGGTTAAAACCCTTTCTAACTGCAATAATTATACATAGCTTTTCTAAATTTCACGGGAAGCTTTTTGTAATCAACACAGAATAGTTTTTATACATTGTAATCCTTTCTTATTTTTATTTAATTTCAGGGGCTTGATTGCATAAGAATTATTGAAGAATTAGCAAAAGTACTCAAGAAACAGTCAGGTATCTTTCCTGAAAATAAGTGTCTTAGTTCTTTTTACATAAATTTGTAAATAATTCATAGAGTGAGGTGGTTTAAGGGGCATACTGCAAAATTACTGTTGAGGAATAATGAGCCTAATATTAGTGGGGTGGAAGCCTTAGACCATAAATACTTGCATATCTTCATTTGCTTAAGTAGATCTATTAAGTGTTATGATGTTCATAAGGTTGCTGGCACACATTCATTTAACGGTGTGATGACAGGAATGTACACATGCATGGCAGTAGGCATGATTTGGGGATCAGATCCCATCAGGCAATTACTACTTACCAGTGCAGGACAAGCCCAGGATTATGAGCCTAAACTCCCACTGCACTTGCCCTGCCCCATGTTCCATTTAAGGCACTATGGAGGCCAGCCACAAAAAAAGTGTTTACACATCTTTTGTGGATTATTTTTGTGGCTGGTTTCCCATTTTGTTGATCCTTGTAATTCCTTGAACATGTATAAAGGTTACAGTTTATGGTGAGATTAACAGAGTAATCTTGACTTCTTCAGTGTAACATCTGCCAGGAGTCTTGGACTGGATCTATTTTAGACACACAGATGCTATGTCTGCAAACTGTACATAAAAACAAGTTGTAAACTGAAGTTTGACTGAGGACTGAGCCACTAGTTATACTTTTAAACTTAACTACCCATTTCTTGATACATTATCACTGAAACAGTTGGGAATATTTATCATCATTAATACTATTATTAATGAGAATATATTTTTATATTTTAATGCCTTTTATGAAAACATCATATATGGTTACAGTGAACTAATCTCTCTCTACATATCAAGTTATTAGATATTTAAATGATTTCCATTTAGTTTTTAGTTAATGTTAAAAGATTAATTTTGCATTATATTGAATAGGTTCTGTGTTTTTATGATTTTTTAAAATTAGTGTTATAATGCAAATTGATTTTGTTATACTCTTAATAAAGAGTTAAAGTATACCTTTGATATCTCCCAACTGATTGAAACCTACTGCAGCCTTCGGGGAGTATTACTGGAGTACTTGATTCCATGTGTTGTTGTCTTTAAGTGGAAAATCAATAATTTCAATATTCCATTTTAGGTCTAAGAAATGTCTTGCCCATAACAACTGCTAAAGTCCCAATTGTCAAATTTATCCATGCCAGAAGTGGTCTTGAAGTAGACATCAGTTTATATAACACGCTAGTAAGTATCTCTTAATCTTTTTACATAAGCTACGGGAAGAATGGGACATTATCATGGGGATTTAGCATGTTTTTTCTTTTCATGATGCAGTAATCATTGTCGTATATCACCTAGTGCCGTTAGATTCTTAGAATCTAATCCACCATTTATCTCTGCCTGGGTAGTCCAATACAGAATTGAGACCTTTAAAGTGGCTATTTCTTATTAAGAAGGTAAACTGTTTAATAATACCAATCCTTGAGTGTTTAGATCTGTCTTCAGGCTTTGGAGGAAAAATAATAACATCCTAAAGAGCAAAAAGACCATTGCCACATGTCTTATGAGCAAGGATTGCTTTGTATCAGGACTATCTGAATTGTCATGAAATAAGTAGATATCTCCTGGACTGCTATGGGGAATTAGGTTGGTAAAAGGAAGAAAATGTTAGCTTAAAGTTCTCTTACTGGCATGTATGTCCAAATTGTATCTGTTTATAGATTTCAGTTTGAACTCTGAGTATGGGTTTTGAAGAAACAAAGAAGTTTGTCAAGTATTAGCAAAATGTTTTTAAACTTTTGTATCAGTGTGTGAGGTAGATCTCAGGAATGCTACTTTGCGATGAAGATTTGTTCTTGAAGGTTACCCACTTGTGTGGATCAGTCAGATAGTTCTTGTATCTCTGGACTGAAAAGATGTGAGTTTGGAAACCATACCAGATATCATCTTCCAGAAACCTTTTGAAGGTGCAGTGTTAGGTTAATGCTTTACTTCTGTCAGATAATATCCTTGTAATGATGCATCTTGTCATTTTGTGAGCGGATAAATGTTAAAAAGTGCTTTTAAGGTCTCCTTAACAGAGCATAACATTGTCGTCTCAATGAACACGTGTGTACTCGATAAAATGTCTTTCTAGTGTCAAGGACCATGCATTTGCTGCTGCTGGGAATGCAGTAGCTGCAGTGTTTGCCTGTGACTTTGTACAGGCTAGATACAGGCATTTAGTTTCTACCAAGAGAATTGCTCTCCTCTCAGTCAAAAGCAGAAGTGTAGAGATGTTTAGATTTTTTTTTCTCCCAGATCAAAAAAAAAAAAAAAAGTAGCTCTGGGTGAGAAATAACCCTGAAACAACCAATGTTAAATCACTCCTAGGAGAATTTCTCTTGGAAGATTGAATATCTGTGTATGCTTTCCCCCAGCTTCTCTCCTCCTGAAGATCAGGAGGCATGGAGCTTGGGGAAACGCTCTTGTGTCTTCCTGAAACTGGGGTTACCTCATAGATTGGGAGGTGAGGTGAGCAGCAGCCACAACTCCCTGCCACTTCACCAAACTTCTTTGACGTAGTCCCTGGTTTGGGGAAGAGGCAGGGGGCTTTGCCAACTCCCTCCAGCTTCTCCTTTCTATATCACTGCCCTGCTGAGTGGCAAAATGGTGATTTTAAAACCTGGTGGCTGGGAGCAAGGCTAATTGCCAGAAGGATGGGCATTTATGGTGGCAGCCTTCCTGGTTCTCCCCTGTGGAAGAATAACTCCCATTCCTTGCACTTTGGGCTGGCCCAGAGGAGTGATGGAAAGATGGGGAACATTCCACCCCTACAGCAAGGCTCTGGGACAAAGCCCTCTTCTCAGCTGCCAGCTTTAAAATTGCTGTTCAGCTGGGCAGTGGGATGGCCAGGGGAGCCAGAGGGACTTTGGAGCAGATATAAGAGGCTTCTCCCAGCCTGGCTCCCAGGTCCTGACCCCTCTAGCTTCCCTTTGCTGCCCACACCACCCAGCTGACCAAGAACAATGCAGAGTAAGGCAGGCTACTGTGCTTTTGCTCTCCCCTCTCCCTGCATTCCTCCAGAGGAGCGCAAGGAGCTGTTCTCCTGCAAGAGAGAACTGGAATGGTTTCCACCATGGAAACTTTCCATGGTTTCCACTTTTATTTTTTCAAAGTTTCCCTCAACAGAAGCTGTAGTCTGCTAACACATTTTCCACATCACTCACTGGTTCCCAGAATTGACTACCTTGTTTATTTACAGGCCCTGCATAACACAAGACTCTTGTCATCTTACGCAGCCATTGATTCTAGAGTGAAATATCTGTGTTATACAATGAAAGTCTTTACAAAGGTGAGTTCTACTTCAAGTATTCTGGAAGTGATAACATCCACAGCAAAAAATTATATCATTTAACATTTCTCTTTCTAGATGTGTGACATCGGAGATGCATCTAGAGGTAGCCTTTCTTCCTATGCATATACTCTTATGGTGCTTTATTTTCTTCAGCAAAGAAATCCACCAGTTATTCCTGTTCTTCAAGAGGTACAGTATGTCAAAAAGTAAATTAGTAGAAGTCAGTTTTTTGGTACACTATTGACTAAAATCTTTATTGAAATATCAAATCTGAACAGCTATACTAACTAGTTACTCTGTACTTAGATCTACAGTGAACCAAAGAAGCCTGAAATTTTAGTTGATGGTTGGAATGTATATTTCTTTGACAGAATAGAAGAATTGGTGAGTATTTCACGTTCCATTTGATATAGTATTATACAAAACAGTTCCCAGTGCTTATAGTGGGCCCCATGGTTTACTCTCCACATGCCTACTTTCATATATGTAACGCTAAAACCATGGCTGCCTATTAGTACTGAAAATAACCAGGACAGCCAAGTCTGTCCATAATAGCCAGCACACTTATTAAAGTATAAATAGTACCTTTGTCATTGACATATGAGGGTAAATGGGTAGCACTATTTGCCCTTCATAAACAGCTGCTCACATCAACCATAGATCTTTAAGTGGTGGGGTCTGCAACTTGCAAACTAAAACTACTTCTGTTAAGACACGTGTTAAAAGTGCAGGAGTTGTAGATCCAATCACTAAAATCACATTTGCCTTTGAATTATACATATGGGAGGAATAAGAAAACATTCTTATAAATAGCACATAAATTAGGGCAAGAAATATACTGTATTTGAAGGAGAAAAGTAACATTTATTTGCAACAGAAGAGTCAGAAAACTTCTGTATAAAAGTACCTATTCATGTTTGTTGTTTTAAACTAATAAAAAAATGCCTAAGTTGTCTCGCATTAGAGAGATATTGAGAGAGAGTACTGCTTACATTTCTAAAGCAGTGTAGGGGACATAGCCAGATAACTAAAAACATTGGACAAATAATGGAAGTGTGGCTAAATATATCTGTTTTTGAAAAAATTGGTCTTATGTCTTCAGACTTTCATTACATAGTTGTTTACATGGAATATATGAAACGTGCATCTTTGTGTGGGGGGAGGTGAAAGCTACAAAACATGAATACTTTGCATTTGATAGTTTGTATTAGGTTTTGCTAACAAATCATTGCCAATCTGCTACATTCCTTTGATGCGTGGCATAACTCTTCAGCTTAATCTCTTAAATTTAGTGGAGTAATTGTGTTTAATGAATACACATCTGCTTAAATTAAATTTTGCCTGCTCTGAAAAAAAATAACAGGGAGAGGGGAAAGAAATTGCTAATATTGATGCTACTTAAATGACCTTTAATTTATTAATATTAGCCTTCAAAATATGAAGTGATGGAAGTGTTTAGAATAGCTTTAAACATGCTTCTGTATTACATTAGGTTGTGTCTGAATCACTGAATATCAGAACAAGATTTTTTTTTCTTCATTTCCAGCCAGCTGTTTGGCCAGACTATCATAAAAATACTGAATCTGTTGGACAGCTATGGCTGGGACTTCTCCGTTTCTACACAGAAGAATTTGATTTCAAAGAACATGTCATCTGCATTAGGAGAAAAAGTCTACTTACAACCTTCAAGAAACAGTGGACCTCCAAATACATTGTCATTGAAGGTAGACATTGAATGCAGGAGTCACTGATACGTGGGGTTACTCTAATATCCATTTGAAGAAATCTGCCTTTTCCATGTGTCTTTTACTTTCTTCCTGTTGGATTAAGAACTACTACTCCTAAATACTTGGAAATTCTTAAATGTTGCACCAGGAACTATGTCATGAAAGTCTGAGAATAATTCCAAAGCTTGTCAGTGCTGGCACTAACATTCTGGCCAGTCTGACCTTGTCATAAAAAAGTCTTCATCCTCATCCTTTCCTCTCCCCTCCCCTGCCCCCAGCCCCTTCATTGCATTTTCAGCATTTCATTCAGATAGGGCCTGTGTCCTTTTGAGTGTGCTCTCTTTTGGTATATACAGAGAAACTCTATACACAAAAATCAGTTTGTAGTTGAAATAGAATGTTGGATGGCTCATGTACATTTTAACTGGTTAGGATCACTTGATTTTTTTCACGCTAGCTTTAGTAATATAATCCCATAACATTCTTTACACAGATCCCTTCGATTTGAACCACAATCTTGGAGCCGGATTATCAAGAAAAAGCAAGTATCCATAAATAGCACATAGAAGAGGCAAGAATCTTGTTTTAGTCAGCAACTAATTTTTTGCTTTCATTTCCTAGTGACAAATTTTATAATGAAGGCCTTTATCAATGGCAGAAGGGTATTTGGTACCCCAATCAAAGGATTTCCTAAAGAATATCCATCAAAGATGGTAAGTGTCTTAAGGATGTGTTGGAGAAAGTGTGCGCGTATCTCTTACTTACCATGAAGCCTTGCACAGAATTCATGGAAAAACAGTTGCACTCTGTTAAGGACTAACACTTTTCTTTCATATTTCACTGGTATCCTAGGTAGTCATGGTTCAGAATTATACTGTAAATTGTTGGATTTTTTAATACTTATTGTGACTTTGCCTAGAAACATTAACTGTGTTGGAGTTTCATTGTTCAGGCTCATGTTACGTTGTCCTCCAGGAAAGCTTAGTCTAGAACAAGGGCTCAATGTTTTTGGGCAGAGTGCCAAAATCGCCCACAGCCTCAACTTGTAAGATGTTGGTGTGCCGAGGCGGACAGCAGGGCAGCCACAAGGGACTCGATCCTTGTTGTGGCAGTGCAGCCTCAGCCCCTTCCCCCACTGTCCACCCCTAGGCACGCATGCCAAACAAAATGCCTTTGCATGCCACGCTTTGGCATCCATGCCAGGGGTATCTTCCCCTGGTCTAAAATATACATGGTTGAGCAGGCTGCTTTAAGAGGGAAGTAGCAGCAGCCAGGGGATCAGAAAGCATCAGACCTTGCAGGCTTATGGTTATAAGCAAGGACTTATGCAGTTCCATAGCTCTGGATTACTGCTAAATTAGCGTGTGGAATAAAAGCTGTGCCTTTTTTGTTTTCATAGGGAACATAGTAGTTGTGTATCAAGTTAGGAAGGCTGTAGTTAATGGCCTTCCACATTCTATAGTGTGGACCACTACATGATACAGATCATTTTCTCACTCTTTCTGGGTAAATCATCCCAGCCCTTTCTGGTGAAAGTGGTCCACTTGTTGTGTTGATGTGGCCTCAGTTTCTAGTTTTGCCTGTATGGCTAGCAGCAGACATTGCATTTGTCCCTGGTCACATTGTGCCTGAGTTTGTCCTGTAACAGAAATGTCCCAGAAACGGTTTGTACACATCACCCTTCCAGTCAGGGTTTAGAGAACAGCCAAATGTACTGCTGCTTTTCTGCTGTTGATTGTTATGCAGTCCTGGGACAGTGGATCAGACACATCGCAATGTCCTGGAACAAACTGTTAGCACGTCTTATCTCATTAACCTTTTTTGGACTCGTTCTGGGATAATGGACATGAATGTCTGAACAGCTGCACTTTTGTCCAAGGGTAAAATGGCTTCTCCCAAGACACACGTGACATTTGTCTGTAGCCTGTAACTTTTTTTTTTTTCCCCTTTTAGGAATACTTCTTTGACCCAGAGGTACTGACAGAAGGAGAACTGGCCCCAAATGATAGGTGCTGCAGAATTTGTGGTAAAATTGGGCATTTCATGAAAGACTGCCCCATGCGAAGAAAGTAAGTATAGTTTTGGGGATGTTTTTTTCTTTGGTACTACAGGTTTCCTTAGATATTTTAAGGTAGATTGTTTTAATAACTTTAGATTTAAAATAATAATTTCACACTGCACATTTTGTTTTAATTCTTAAGCTGAAAATATGTGCCTTTTAACTTTTTGCATTTTTGTGGCTTTTGTTGGATTTCACTGTTATTATTTCGTCATCATCAGAATTGGGTTTTTTTTATAGAAAAAAATATGTTATAACCTTTGATGAAATGTATATTTTACCCAAGGTACTACTCAGCAATTTCAGGGATAATATTTGTTCTGGCCTAAATAAAGGAAAGCATTATTCAGAGAGAATCTGAATGCAAAGATGAATAGTGATGTGCTGGAAAGAGAGAGCTCATGAAAACTTTCTGTATGTTTTTGTTTAATAGCTTCTATTTATAGAATCCTGGAGCTCCCCAGCAAAGGTACCTTTTGTGATGTTTACTGAATCATGCTTCCCATCGTGCCAAAAAGCAAGTAAAGGGCACCACAGCATGACTTTTTAGACACCTTTTCACCAGAACTGAGCCGAGCTTACACACAAGAACAAGGCTTCCTGGACTTGGTAACAGATGTCCAAAATTCAATAAATGCCTTACTGTAGAAAATGAATGCAAAATTGATTTTCTTGGACTTTAGATGGTAAACTCTAATGTCTGCATTTAATTCTACAGAAGCAATTAAGGATTGCAAATCTTAAAATGGTGACATTAAAATAAAAATCCAAGAGGAAATCATAAAAGCTTGTGTGGTTTAGTTGGAGGTGAATGGAAAATTAATTTCTGTTGCAGCCTTAATACCCTGGAAGAGTAAAATCCAGGCCTATAGGGTATTGGCTGTTTGAAAGGAAATAAACAGATTTTTATGTAAACGGTTTGATTCCAGAAGTACTGAGATCTGATGAGAAAGCAGGATGAGTTTTTAGGGGGCTACGTTACTTAGATGTGGAAGTGACAGAAATAAGATCCATAGATATTTCATTCTCTAGGTATGAATACATGCTATTTTCAGTTTCCTGTGAGCAGAGCATAGGTCAATGACTTTCTCCCCCCCACCCCTCCCTTGTTCTAGCTCTAAGAATTTGGGCTGTTATAGGGATGGTCAACCTGTGGCATGCGTGCCATGACACAGAGAGCTGCTATGTGGCATATGAAAACCCAGGCACTCAGTAAAAGCGGCTGGAAGATATGCAGGACACTACTGGGGGATGAGGTGTCAGATGTCACGGCCAAGAGCCAGTTTAACTCTCTTCTAGCTGTGCAGCTGCCACCAAATTTAAGCCTTTGCATCCTTGCTTGCCATATAAAACTGGGGCAGTTGCAAAGCCAGGGAAGTGTTAATCTTGTTAGCTATGACACCTTGCTTGCAGCAGTGTTTCTTTCTCCCACTTTGCACCAAGTACCCACAAGCTACAAGCCCTTCTGTGTTTATTCTGGCCTCCTAGGGTATAGACTCCATGAGGTACTTCTGGGAGTTGGGAAATACAGTGGCGCTCATGGAGGGTCAGGTTAATTTGTGGCATGCTAGACAAAAAGGTTGGCCACCAGTGGGCTATTGCAATAAAGGCTTGTCTAGAGAAAATCATCCTAGTTCAATTGTATGTCTAGTCAGGTTGAAGGCTTGTAATTACACACACACACACACACACACACACACACACACACACACACACACACACACACACACACACAACCCCTTTTCTGAGAAGGCCTTCAACAAACCATAACAAAAATAATTACGTAACTACTTCGAGAAGAAGGAACATCTAATTTTGATTAAATATCCTTTTTTGTACTACAAAGCTTTATAACTTAATTAGGGAATTGATGTGGGTACTGATGTGATACCAAGTTAGTAGGCGATCCATGTGTAACAATGGCTGTAGTTAAGACTATAGGGCAGATTTTCAAAAGCATTTAAGTGGCTTCGGGGTACCAGTTAATTAATTTTGTAATAGATTTGTAGATTTTGAAGTATCATGGGCACTTTGAATCTACTACCCACATTAAAATTCTTTAATGTTGTTAATTTTGGGCCATATTTTTTCAAATGCATTGCGATTGAATAATATCTAACCAAATGTTATCAAACTGGAACTATGGCATCCTTTTTTGTGAAGGATGATACCAGTTTATGGGGAAAAAAAATTAAATTATTTGAGGAGAGAGCATCTTTTTTTTAATGTTGTTCCTTAATTGCAAATCTGACTTGACATAATTTTCCCTAGTCTTGTGAAGTTGTTAATGAGCCATTCTGCTTTTCAGGAGTGTACAGTAAGCCATAACTAAATCCTATATGCTCATAATTACTCAGTCAAACTCTTAATTGTAGTCCTTTATTTTTTAGTATTGTAAGTGGCTGGGATGGACTCATGATTGTGAATTAAAAGTTTTTTCCTTAATATGTCTAGCATTTAGTATGAAACTATGGCCACATTTTTCAAATACATCTCATGATTGAATAATATCAAATCAAATATGGTCCAGCTTGAAGCAGTTAAGCTATGGACTGTGAACTGGAAGCATTTTGTCCAGCTCAAATTCCTAAAAGTTACTACTACTGTTTCACCTATTCTGAAAAGATACTGGTGTTTGTTTGGGTTTCTTTTTCATGATGCTTCTAGTGTACATAATGCCTTTTTTCAGCTGGGCTTTAGCAGACAATTTGCCATGAGTGTATGAGCAAATACTGCTAAGTTCATCCCACCTACGCTTTAATAAAGGGATGGGTGCATTCACTTTTGTTACATGTTTACATGTTGCAGAAATGCTTTTAAAGTTATACTTGTTAATTCTCTCCTATATCTACTAGCATAAAGTGTAATTGCTGTTCTCTTCTGCAGAGTGAGACGGCTACATGATCACGAAGATATCAGAAACCAAAGGTACCCAGAAAATAAAGAGAAAAGAAGTAAAGAGGACAAAGAACTACAAAATAAAACCACAGAAAAAGACACCTCAGTCAAAGAGGGAAAGATGCAATTAGGTGCATCTCAGAAAAACAAACTAGGGAAGGGAACAGTGGAAATGGGAAAAGATAAGAACCCCAGGCAGTCAGCAGAGAAATGGAAACGGCAGGAGGACAGAGACTTAAGAGAAAAACGTTGCTTCATCTGTGGAAAAGAAGGACACATTAAAAAAGAATGCCCACACTATAAAGGACCCGCAGGTAAGAAACCCTGATATGACTCAACGTGAGCACTTCTCAAACAGAGCATATAACTCTCTGAAGTATTTAATGCATTTAGCTAACTAAATGGATCAGGTTTAGTAACTAATGTGTGCTGATCATTCCTGCTTTTTCAGGAAGGTGATAAACAAAAGCCCCACTTCCTTCCTTGGTCTTTCACCTACATTAAATGACATTCTGTACCTGAGAAGGGCTAGACATGATCTCTCTTTCTTTTTTAGAGGGAGGGCACTTGTCCATAACTTTTTTTTTTTTTTTGGCAGCACTCCATTTGAAAACCACTGTTGTGCTGCTGCAGCTTACAAGATAACTCCTTATTGAATAAGGAGTTTACCGGACTCTTAACTTTTTTTTCTTTTCACACAACAGCAACATTCTAATAGTTGTCTCCTATCCATATTCAGGTTAAAAAATAAATAAACAAAACCCACAGTGAAGCACAAAATTAAATCAAGTGCTATTCTATTGTTTTCTCTGTGAGAAACTCCTTGATATGTATTGGGTCGTTATGAGTGGAATAAACGTAACTACTGTCACAGCTTATGTAACACACGTTTCATCTCTTGGTTATGCAGACAGTAAGAGGCTGTGAAACCCTTAAAATTCAGACTGAGTGCTGAATAAACATTGCCATAATAAACACTGGGTTTTTGTTTTTAAACATAACCATACAAATACCGTGTGCTCTGTCAGCATATTCCCCTGTTCTAAGAGCAGTGGCTTTCAAGTGGTCCCTACCAGACCGGGAAGCAAATGAGGCAGGAGCAGCTGCACTTGTCCTACCCTTTCTTTGTCTGACCCCACACACTCCTCCCTGAAACAGGCAGGTAGGACTGTTCCATCTGCTCCGCTTGCCTCTGTTTCTAGAGAGAGACTTTGAGAGTGAGTGTTCTTCCCACAGCCACTTCCCAATCTGACTCTGCAGGTGGAGTTTCACCCAACTGTGGCAGCAGTAGCGCCCACCCTCACTATAGCACCCTTGAGAAGTTCTTGCATCACCCAGGTTGAAAACCTGTGCTTTAGATCCAGAAGACAAGCTCCAGTTAGAAAAAGTCAGATATTAAAATTTTACTTCCCTTCATAATATCTGTTAAATAAGTATCCACATTTAAGATTTTATTTCATCTACTAACAGTAAAAACTGGACCCGCAGCGATCTGTCACAAGTTTAAAAATGTTTTAAGCAATAGAGACTAAACTACTTCTCCCCCCCATAAGTAGTTTAAAATTGCTGCAGATCTGTACAGTTTAGTTCATACTCAGATATAATGTGGCGATCTGTAAAGTTCTTCCAAGTCAGCAGCCAGACAGAAGAAACATTCCTTTTCTTTAATACCATGGGGAGAATGGCTATTTTAGCTGAAAACCACTGATGAGGAATTCCTAGGGTGACACCAAGTATTTCCTCCAACTAGAAGCCAATTGCCAAATTATCTGGATTAGGTTGACATCTCTTCAATCTTTTAAACAGTCAGTGAAAGAGAGTATCAATTCAGCAAAGTGAAGTATGAAGCTGAAGCCTATCCGAAGAAAACTGAAGGGTGCTCTTCAGCTAGCCTCCATCATCAAAAGGAATATCAAACTGAACTGTTTCCTGGGCTAATAAGTTGTCCCATTTGAAATGTTTCTAAGTAGAAACACTAAAAAAATGACACTTGTGTAGAGTATTTTTTAAATGGCCTGGATGTAATAAGGAGTCCTATGCATACAAAAGAATCTCAAAACTGAACTGTCCTGCATAGCTTAAATAAGAATGCCATCTTGGTAGGATACTCGTGAAGCATAAGTGAGAAATTTTGATATCATCCAAGACTGTTGCAGTCCTCCTTTCAGGAGGGAAATTATGTAATTTTAGGTGTTAAAGATTTCCAATAATACCCTTAAATTTCCAATAATACAGATGTGCGTAGCAAACCACCTTAAATGCATAGATGGACTCTCGTCAAATACATGGGTTTGAAATTAGGTTTCAGATCGATGTTTTGCCTGGCTTCTGACCTTCTGAGTCGCTCCATTGGCTCTCCATGTACTGTTGTATGTATTCTGAATTTTTTTTGCTCGCCCTCGGGACTCCATGATCCTCTCCCACATTCGCCCCTTTCACACTCATTTGGCCATTGACATTATCCTCAGTATCTATCCCTTCCCTTGTCTCCCATCTTTTTAATCCTGTACCTGGAATGCCCTCCCAACTAAATATAAGATTACAAGGCACTTGGATAATGTGGTGATAGAGGCCATATAGGTGCTTAAGATAGGCTGATGGAAATTGTTTGTTGCAGTTTCTGATAAGTAACTCTGAGTAATTCTTTATTGTATTATTCTCTCAGGTTGTTCAAAGTCAGAAGTTTTGTGTGGATCCCCTTCTTCACCTGGTGCTGTTAAACATGCTGGTAGACTAAATCAGGTAAATGCCACATAACCTGTTTTCTGTATCACTTCTGTTTAAGCATACTTAACCTGCTCACAGGAATCCACTGCAGCTGGTGTCAAGATTTTAATTGCACCCTTTTGGTTGCATGTTGTAATTTGTATGTTCATTCATCATCACTATGTGTTATTTTTAGGGAATGCTTTTACATGAAGAAAAAAAGAAACAAAAAGGAAAAGTGTTTTTGAGTCCCCAGTCAGGTTGGTAACTCTTTTTCAGTTTAAAAAAAAAAAATCACTTGCTAAAGCTGTGTTTTGGGAACTTAACATGTTCTTGCCCATTATCCATTAACCTTTGCTGATGAGAATTTTGGTAGCAGGGTGCAGTATTTTTTTATAAGTTCTTCTCCCTTCTCTTCCTGTTCTTGACTACTGGAGAGAAGGGAATATGTGCTTTGAAGGAGTGTCTATTAGGATGTACACATAGAGCATTTTACTGTAAGACCACCTCATAGGATGAATGGTCTATCTCTAGAATTTTACATGATCATTTAACTTAGGATGGAGTATTAAAGGAAATGCATCCTTTGATCATACTGGAAAAGGTGAAAGGTGGATAGTTAGGTTCAGAAGAAAGCTTAGAAATTGTCTTGCCATGTAAGCAGGAAAAAGATTCAGTAGGAGGTTATACTTGGACCAGATTAATTCTATATATTTTGTTAGAAGCAGGATGCTGCTGACACAGCCTTGCATAGGTTTCAAACATTTAGTAAGTTATAATTTGAAGAGAAAATCAAGAGGGTTTTTTTTGCAAGTTTCTTTCATTAAACAATTTGGTTTTAAGTTATCTCAGTGTTGAGGTGCTCAACCTGGCACTGTAGTTTTTTGTAGCATGGGTGCTAGACACTTTCAGGAAAGAAAATGAAGTGGTAGTTGGGTAGAACTCAGATTGCTATAAAGTGTCTAAAGCTAAATGCAAGTAATTCCTGAGGACTTGAATTTATTTATTTATTGGTTGTTGTAGTTGAAGGTCTTATCACATAAAAATGTATTGTTTTTAAACAAAGGGGAAAATTACTAGTTTGTTCCAAGTCATTCAAGCCTCAGTCTTCCTACTTAACCCATCTTAGGCTTTCATTAGTGATCATTTAATGCATGAAGTTGTCTTACCCTTGTTTTTGACATAATTTAAAGGGAAAAAAATATAATCATTTAAATTAGTTCATCACTAGGGCTACTCTAGCTTAATCCAAATATGTTGTTGATTTTTTTTTTCTCTCTAGGTTAGACAAGTAAATTTAGAGAGAACCTTAAAATCTCTTTCAAAAAGGTTGTATATAGATTGTTTTTTGGTTCAGTTGCAAATGTAGTAATGTGACTTTTCTTCTATTTAGGCAGTCTTTCCAATAAATATATGACTCAGGGAAAAGCCTCACAGAAGAGGACCCAACAAGAATCATGAGGGACCGAAGCTCATAAAATGCAATACAGACCGTCCATGCACTCAAATTAGGTTTATTTTGGCTAAACCATCTGGATTCACAGGACAGCAGCACAAAGCTATCTTCAACTTAAGTTAAAGAAAACTTCAGTATTTTATTTTAGATTGCTAAAAGGCAAAGCAGCTATGGATTTTAATGCAGTCCTCCAACCATGGACTCCTGCTCTTAAAAGATTATTTGAGTATTTTAATAGAAAGCCATGGTGTTTATATTCATTTACTAGGTAAAACTGGTAGATAAGGGCAGGTACTCAAAATGGACCATTTTCAAGGTTTTATCATTCAACCTGGCCCTAAATGCACTAAAATTGTGTGCAAGCCAAATATAATGTTATATTTTTCTTCAAAAAATAATTTTTTTGAAGGAGGAAATGATATTTATTAATGTTGATTGTTTACTGAATCCTTGTGTAAAAGTGTTTGAAATGTTTGTGGACTACTGCTGTGTTTGCAAACATTTTTTTTTTCTGTGGAGAACTGAAAACATGGACATTTAGTAAACTTTTATGTAAAACCTCTGTGGACAAGCAGTGCCATTGAGTTTGGGTTTTTCCCCTCCTCTGTGATTTTAAGAGAGTTAATTTGCTGCTGTGCTTGTGTACAGAAAAAGACTGAGAAGCAGGTTAGTCCTGTTTAGTGCTGCTAAGAATTTTCTCATGGCCTTCAAAATGCAACAGACAAAATTGCTTTAAGGGAAAAAATAAGTTATATTCAACAATTTAGGGTAAATGCATTTCTTTTTACAAAAAAATAAATAAGAAGAGGATCCATCTGCCAGTCAAGGATGTAATTAGTGTCGTCATCTCAAGTTTTTTCTCAAAGTCCTTCTGGAGTTGGTACTGTACCATCAAACCCTGTTCAGGAAAATAACCAATCCATGGTAAAAAATGAAACCACTGTTATTTATGACTTTGAAATAAAAAACCAAAAGTTCAAACTTTAGATTATCTACCTCTCTTCTTACACTGTACTTACAATTCCCTGTATTTTTGCTACAAGTACAAAATTGAATAGGAGTATAGGAGAATGTAATTCTGCTATGGCTGTTTGTTTAAATAATGTTATATTTAAGATAAATAGTTTTTCAGTGAATCTTAAGATTTTTCAAGGGACCTAAGAGATTTGAGCACCCAACTTCTATGGCGTTTCAAACTCCCTTACGCCCTTTTGAAAATTCTAGCTGTAATATACTCTGAAATTCATTACTTCACATGCTTTTTTTTCTCTCTACCATGCATCAAGTTAAACCTTACCCAGAGACTAACAGAAAATAAATGCAGAGAAATCATCTGACTTGGATGGTACGGTATTTATCAAGGTCACTTCAGCATTGTATCTTAAAGTACATTTTACTTACTGTAAAACTGAATGTAAAAATCATTCAGTTCTTCTCTCAGAAGCAGACTTTTATGACTCTGAAAGTGCTGTTTACTGACAGCAGTGTATAAAAGGTGGTCTTGCTTTGTGTATATGCTTCTTTAATTCTGCCTTTTTAAAGGTTTTTTTGGTATGTGGATAGCAATAAAGGAGAAAAACTTATGGGGAGGGAGCAGAATCACATCTGAAGTAGCACATCTCCCCATACATCAAGGATATTCAGAAAATTTAATTCTGCTTGCTGTTAGTTTACCCTCTTCTTCCTAGTACCTCTTGCCAAGAAGCATTCAAGTGTGAAGCCTTCCTCATGACAACTGCCATCATGTGAAGGCTTTTTCTATGGATCCACCTTTTGCTTTTCTAAAGTTATTTCCCAAGCCAACTCATTTTTGCTCTTCTCCTTCCTGATAAATCAATAAATACAGAATACTCCCATAACTATCAAACTAAAACCCTAAACCTGGGTGGTGTATCACAAGTACTGTATGTATGCCATAAGGCTGGGACTGAGTTAATACTAGTGAATGCACTGATGTGATTGGCTGTAGTGGAGGAATATGGTGACTTAAATTGGATGTACGTCTGTTGGATTAATGTATTATTATAGTTTTATTTATTGTTAGAGATTTACGGAAAGGAGTAAAGTGTACATCTTTTAATTTTTTTAAGGTATAACTTTAAAGCTACTGCTGAAAATTAAAGTAGAAGAATTGTGAGTTACTACTTTGTATTTTTTTATATAGGATTTTGCTTGTTTTATGGCTATATTAAAAAATTATAGGTTTGCATGCAAGAAATTATTCTAACAAAACTCTGTACAAACCTTTCTCTTATAAACAATCATTCCCAGAAAAAAAAACTACACAGTAGCCTTTGTCACAGGTTCAAAATGCATTTCAATTTCACAGAACATGCACTGCAAAATTTTTTAATATTATTTCCAGTTGTCTTCCAATATTTTTTTCTCTGTGTAGTACAAACATTGATTTCCCTTTTGACTAGCTGTAAAGGATTTGAGAGCCCTCATAGCCTTTTGGGAGCCTTAGATCAAGGACTGGCAAGAACAGTCAACATTTAAATTTACTCTTGTAGTGTATACTTTGAAGGATGTTACCAGAGATGAACATGTCCATCATCTTCATAGTCTTTTTGGAGCGTTGTAGGGAA